ATCTATCTATCTATCTATCTATCTATCTATCTATCTATCTATCTATCTATCTATCTATCTATCTATCTATCTATCATCTATCACACGTTTTGTCTTGTAACTGGCAGATTTTCTTTTGAATTTGACTCAACTAAAATGAAACAGGAAGTGATGTCAAAGGGGAACTCTGAGGAAGAAAACTCTCTGGTCTTTGTTTATTGAAAAGATCTGATTTGAACTCTGACACGTCTTCATCTTTCACTAACAGAGACTCAAAATAACCTAAAAACATCAGATCTTTCTCTACGGTCTGTGTTGTCAGACAACACTGTAGCAGTGCTCTGTTCACATTCAGACATTCCACTCTGACATCACTTCCTGTTATTCACATGTAAATATCTCAACAACTGTTCATCTCAGTGGCGCGGATTTTTTTTGCAATATGTTATCGTTGCTATCTTTCAAAAAATATATTCATATTTATTACAAAAATTTGAGGTGACAGGTCCTTTAATGAGCTGCTGCAGGTCAGAGGGAGGAAACTGAAAGGCTTTGCTTTAATCACTCGTACCTTTCTGTTCGTCTCCTTCCAGAGGCCATCAACTGTCTAAACCAGGCTATTGACATCTACACTGACATGGTAAGCCCCCTGTGAGACATTAAACCCCTCCCTGTGGGGGTCTTCCCCCTCAATAAAACCCTGTGTGTGTGTGTGTGTTCACTGCAGGGTCGCTTCACCATCGCAGCCAAACATCACATCACCATCGCAGAGATTTATGAGTCAGAGCTGGTGGACATCGAAAAGGTTTTGTTCGGTTTGTGTGAATATCATCAGGTCTGTCCGAGTATTTTTCTTACACATGTTTGTTTTCAGGCCATTGCTCACTATGAGCAGGCAGCAGATTACTACAAGGGAGAGGAATCCAACAGGTGCGTATGTGTTTGATCAGTGTCGTTTTAAATCAGCTTCTGGTCCTCACAGCCTTAGAAACACATGAAGAATGATCAAATGATCAGATTCTGTGGAAACATTAAATATTTCAATAACAGAAGACCAAAACATGATCAGAGTCAGCCTCATGAAGTAATATAGAAACTTTACTAATCAATACACAGCGGGTAAAATAAGTATTGAACACGTCAACATTTTTCTCAGTAAACATATTACTAGAGGTGCTAATGACATGA